ATGTACACAAAGTGGATAGAATGTTTGCCTTGTAAAGAGAACACGAGTACCGTGTGCGCCACTTTGTTGATTAACCATGTCTTTTCCAGGTTCGGTCTGCCTCAAAGAATTGAGTCAGACAGAGGTAGTCATTTTACCAGCGAAGTAATGGCTAAGATGTGGAACATTCTAGGTGTTAAACGAAAGCTACATATTGCATACCGCGCTGCGTCTAGCGGGGGGGTAGAGCGATATAACCAGTCTATCGTTAATATTCTAAAGAAATATGTTAAGGAGTCTGGTAAAGACTGGGACATTAAATTGCCCCTAGTTTTAATGGCGATTAGAGCTACACCTAGCACTGCTACTAAATTGTCACCTTTTGAATTGATGACAGGAAGAAAGATGGTTTTACCACAGCATTTACTATACCGTACTTCGGATCATAATTTGATCAATGCTGCCACTACGCATCAGTATATTGAAGATTTGCGCAAGCATTTACAGCATGCATTTGCTTTTGCCCAAAAGAATCTAGAAAAAGCAGCGACAGGGGTTAAGACCTATTACGATTTGAAAACCACGAAAAAGGAATATGAGATAACAGATCAAGTCAAGGAAAATAAATTTTTACCTTCTTGGAAAGGGCCATATGTCATCATTGACAAAATTTCCCCTGTAGCGTATAAGATAAAAATTCCTAAGGATGGTGATTTTATTGAAAAATGGGTTCACATTAACCAGTTGCGTGCTTGTCATCCTAAATCTCAATTAAGGATTATAGGTGTGGATTCGGACGCAGAAGGGTGAACGACTAACCTGGATGAATGCTTGATTCACGTGGTATAGTATGATGTGAAATGTTGTGATGTGCCATGATCTCATGTACGTTCATGTCATTAACCATTTCCTTGCCATCCAATAACTACATTTTATAAGCAGGTTACTAGCTTGTTTAATGCTATAGGCAAATTGCTGAAGAGTCAGTAATAAATGTAGTGAGGGATGAAGTTATAAAAATAGAATTAGACAGAATACATATGTTGATGAATCGTAATAATGTGTTGTCCTAGGCCAAGTGATGTCACACTGTTATAAGTTTGTATGCTTAACAAACCTTGAATCATTAGTAGATAAGTCTGAAACGAGTTCCTGATCCGTGACTGTCGAAGGATGTCCAAGAAGGATGTGGCGTGTTTCTGGATCGTACTGCTCCTGTGCCAAGAGCTACGGACCGACCCGATCGCAGAGATGGGACCATCCTCCGGCATCCTGATTCAAGAGACACCAGGGTTCATCTTAACAGAGAAGAGGATCCTGACCAGACGTGTGTTCGTCAGCTTGGACCCCAAGATTTCCATCGAGAAGGCATACAACATTTCATCGATGCAGCTTCCTGAGTTACAGACTTGGTACCAGATGCACCTCCAAAGAGCACAGGACCGTGTGCGAAACATCTTGGAGCAAGCCCGGAAACCATTTGTATCCAGTTCTATTCCGATGAGCAACCGACCCAAAAGGTTCCTCACCGCTATAATTGTTGCATTAGTTTGTGCCACTGTCGGTGCAGTTGTCGCAACTGGAATGTCTGCAGCCAACTCTATTACTGTCCAAAAGCTGGATATGGAAATCTATGCGCTAAAGCAACACATTAACGATATTCATCAGGTGATACAACAGCAAAGAACACTTCTCCAAGACGTGTTAACTATTGTGGAAGACACAGTTGTTACAACAAATTTGCATTCAGAGTTAATTGCCAAATCCACTGAGTTGCACCAAAGTCATGACTTATTCAAGCGTGAACTTCTATTTCTGCATGACCCAATATTGTTCCACACACTTGCTTTTCTTGACGAAGTGCAAACTGGAATGATCGAATTGGCAGGGGGACGCATACCTCTGTACTTTGTATCCAAGGATATTGTTCATGCGATGCTTGCCAATGTGGATGGAGAGACAATTGAGCCTATGAAATTAAATCTGGCCTTTGAGATGGGGAGCGCTATACCTCTCTTAATTGATCCGGAACGTATGGAGATTTGCTTTTTATTGACCATACCATATGTAATTCTCAAAGACATTTTTCAAATGAAAATAATGTACTATGTAATAATGATATTATGGTTGATTGTACTAAGTGTAAAGTTCAAAACTCTTACAGGTACAAATATATACAAAAATGTTCATTCCACGCACGGGCCTATGTTAGAAATGATGTGATTGCACAATATGTCTGGTAACTTCTATAGTGCTTATTCATAAGCTAAATTAATTTTGGCTATGAAATGCACTAAAGGGGGGTTATGTCAGAGTATTTATATCGGCAGACATCTTGTGCTATGATAGAAACTAAAAGTGTATATTCTGAGTCACTCTGAACAGACCAGACTCCATTTTGTTATTTCAAGTTAACAGAAAGACACTATATTTCTATCTGTAAGCTAACCACTTTCCCAGAGCTGAGGAATGCATAGTATATACAAGCCAAGTGATAAGGAAGGGGGTTGGACAGACTGTCTAATGCTAATGGAATATAATCAAATCTAAACCCAGACAATTGTGACAGAGAAGATTAAATAATTTAATATTTAACTGTCTATATATATAAGGTACCATTGTATGGAAAAGGGTAAACTTAGTTCATGATCTGTCATATCAGAAATTATGGCAGGAATTGCAGACGCTAAGTCTGGACAAAATTTAAGAAACCCTTTGAAATTTTAAATTATGGCGCTATAAAGATAACGCAAAATGACGTCAAAATAGCCACCAGGAAAAGTTAACTCTTTCCTGGATAGGTATGTTTAGTGGGACAAGACTGCCCTCTACAGACCAAATAACTAATTTGCGATCTGGAAGATAACCACACCTCTAGTGCTTCTATTGGGTTATCAACTGATGACGTACAGAGAGTCTGGCCCTTTAAAAGTTAAGACAAAGGGAAGATAGAGATATACGAGAGAAGGAGGCAGATGCAAGATATGCAAAGGAGAGGAGAGAGGAATTGGAAGTTTGGGAACTCCAACTCGGACAACATCTGAGACTAACACTCTACTCCTAAAACTCTAACACTTAGAATTTACTGACTTTCTAACCAACACCTCCATGCAGAGAGACTACCAATCGGATGAAATATCTACTCAACTGGTAATTATACTGGTTTCATTTAATTAAATTAAATTAATTAAAATGTATTAATAGCATTATATATGACTGGATAAAGCACGGTCAGATTTCCATATTAAGAAATCTTAGTTAACTAAGAATATATAGTTATAAATATTCCATTCTGCAGGTGGAATTAAGAATAATTATATATTGATGTGATATTATCACGTGTTAGCATACCGCTGTTTTTATCCAGGTGTATTGATTTGCTCTAAATTAAGATAGATATCTTTTAGACAAATTAAAAATCTGCTTATATAATATTAGATTCTCTTATTGGATGGTTTAAGAAAATGAATTTAAACTGGTTTAAATGTTATTTTATTTAAAAATTACATAAGAATAGATCTTAACTACCTAGGAGATCTAGCCAGCATTGAAAGGGTTATTCTAACTGTCTGCTAAACTTTACGACCTTATGCTGCACTCTGAGGAATTCTGTTCTCTGTGTGAAAAGTTTCACTTTCAGCCTGTGTTAAGGATACCTCATAAATCGTAGAAGTCTTGACAGATAATGAGTTAATAGCCATTGAAACGTAATACCCATTTCTTTGTATTGCATATAATTTTGTACTGGATATTCATTGATTATTATCATGCATGTTACATATTATTATTAATTTGTTATTATAAATAAAAATCTATTTTTATACATTGTGATATTATTATATGAAATACATTCCACTTAACACGATAAACGTTCTTTGGGATCTGAGAATTGAATTAGTGGGCAATTCTCACTGTTACTATTATTATCCCATAAATATCCCCACATGTCAGAGAGTGGTCTCAGATAGAGTTGAGCGGACACCTGGATGTTCGGGTCCGGCGGGTTCGGCCGAAATTTGAAAAAAAGTCTGGGTTGTCTCGAACTTGACCCCCGAACTTGACCCCAACCCGAATCCTATTGAAGTCAATGGGGACCCGAACTTTTCGCAACAAAAATGCCTCTAAAAAACTCATGGAAAGAGCTAGAGAGCTGCAAAAGGAATTAAAATGGGGGTAAGAGTAGGACAAGTGCCCTGCAAACAAATGTGGATAGGGAAATCACTTAAAATAACATAAAAATAAAAAATACAGCTGAGCCATAAAATAGCACTAGATGGAATCTTTGATTTTAGCTTTGGAAGAACATAAATCAAAATCTAAAGCATGGCTGTCAGGAGGATCACCAGAATTATCAATTTGAGAGAGGGTTGGAGTGCAGGGTATTCTCTTTCATTGTTCAAATTGAGTTCAACTCCTGATGCATGGACAAAAAGGCATTCACAAGCCTCTGCTAATGTGTACATAGTTTATACTAGGTGACCCATAGGTTGAGGAGGCGGTGACCATGGCGGTGTAGGTGGAAGCAGAGGTGGAGGAGGAGGTAGCCAACACTGTTTTTTATGTTTTTTTTTTGTTTTTTTTAATTGTGGTAGCCCACAAAATATTGGGACACACAAAAAAAGAAACATTTGCAGCCTGCAGTGCATTTCTTGCAGTCCTGATGCGTGGAGAAATGCTCAACTTCTGATGCATGGAGAAAAGGCCTTCACAAGCCTCTTCTAATGTGTACATAGTTTATACTAAGTGACCCATAGGTTGAGGAGGCGGTGACCATGGCGGTGTAGGTGGAAGCGGCGGTGGAGGAGGAGGAGGAGGTAGCCAACACTGTTTATATATATCTATTTTTTATTTTAATTGGGGTAGCCCCCAAAATATTGGGACATATAAAAAATAAACATTTGCGTCCTGCGGTGCATTTCTTGCAGTCCTGATGCATGGAGAAATGCTCAACTCCTGATGCATGGAGAAAAGGCATTCACAAGCCTTTGCTATTGTGTACATAGTTTATACTAAGTGACCCATAGGTTGAGGAGGCTGTGACCGTGGTGGTGTAGGTGGAAGCGGCGGTGGAGGAGGAGGTAGCCAACACTGTTTATATATATATATATATATATATATATATATATAATATTTTATTTTAATTGGGGTAGCCCATATAAAAATGAGAACTCTGTTCCACAGAGTAGCTGTTGACATTATAGTTGTGCAGGCACTTTGTTGACTCTAGAGAACCTCGGTCCAATTGCACATACCCATGACTGCGACTTTGCATTCGGATGTCATCCATATCAACTTTCAATGCCAGTTCCTGCGCCTACCATGGTGACCACGGGTAACGGGGAATCAGAGTTCCATTCCGTACAGGGACCCTGAGAAATGGCTACCACATGCAAGGAAGGCAGCAAGCGCGCAAATGACCCACTCCCGACACGGGAAGGTAGTGACGACAAATAACAATGGAGGACTCTTTAGAGGCCCAGTAATTGTAATGAGTCCACTTGAAATCCTTTAACTCTGATCAATTGGAGGGAAGTCTGGTGCAGAACCACTGACCCGTGCGTGCTGCCGCTGAAACTCCACTATCGCCTGCTGCTGCTCGCACAGTCTCATGAGGCGGTGAACGGGAAGGCCGAAGTTACGCTACAGCGCAGACAGGTGAGCAGCAGCAGGGTGAGAACACCAAAAGCGCAAACAGCTGCTACCGTGAATGTCATATCCTGTTCCAAGTTGCGGATCAGTCTGGTGATGGCTTCTGGTATCCAGTACTCTTTTTACTGAAGCTGCATCAGGGTCCTGGTATGTGGCCGTACAAACGCTGGTGCTCAATACCAGGGGGCGTGCGGTTACCCTGCACCAGACCCTGCTAATCCATTCTACACTGTGACTCCTAACTTCAACATCAGGCATACTGGGTCCCGGTCATCCGACCGCTGCCCAGACAGTGTCTGGGTCCTGGTCTCCGGATTGCCCACATGACTGTGAAACTACGACTGGATCGTTAAATCTTGTACGAACCCGAACTTTGCAATTCGGGTTCGCTCAACTCTATTATGGATCCTTTAAACGCTACATGTATTACTTGGATAACTGGTAATTCTCAAGCTAATACATGCTGACGAGCGCTAGGGGACGGCTGCTCCGCTTTTGCACCCTGCTCCCTCTTATGCTGTGCTGGTGCCTCTGTGCGACCAGCGACTCTTTCTCCAAACTGCACACGTCACTCGCATGACTTTGATTCCATGTGGGGTCATCATCCTCCACATCATCTTCCACCCACTCCTCAATCCTGCCCTCCTTGCCGGTATGCACACTGCAGAAAGCCACAGCAGTTGGCACCTGTGTTTTTCCAGCATGTAAAGTCTGCAAAGGACATATAGAAATTGTTTTGCAATTGTATCCAGGCAACAGTTTTCCCTATAAACTGACCTTTCAGTTTGACTTGTGAGGTTATTGCCCCAGAATTACAATATTGTTTAAGTACCTCCTGGCTATTGATAACTGGTTTAAAAATAGCAGTTTGTTATCTGGTAGTTTCTAGTGTAGAAAATATCAATCTGTTTTCTATCACTTAGATCTGTGTAACAAGTGTTGTAGGTGTGAAACAATATTACAAGTGACCGATGTAGTAAATTCGAATCAAAGTTCCATTTGCAAAAAAAATTCTCGCCCATCTGTGGGTAATTGCATTTTTAAGATGTAGCCTTATTGTATCACACTAGCCATGCACAGGTAGATTGTCTGGCACGTTGTTTTGGTGTTTGGTTTTTAACTTTGTAGTTGTGTCTTTACACAATATAGAAATGTATATTAATGCTTCTGTATATGAAGCGATCACAATAACCACTTTTTTTTTTTTTAAATCAGGCTAAACAAAAATTGGTATTTAACAATATGACATCTGAAAAGCACATGAAAGGATGCTGTATGATTTTTTAAAAAAAAGAACACACTACATGAAGGTCCTGTTCACTAGAGTGTGTAGTCATGAATGTAACCAGTAAAACTTTGTTTTTACAGCCACTGGTTGGCCCATACATATTTTAAAACTTGAGTAATTTTGTTGTAGCATGACTTAGATATGAAGAGCAGGCCCCACAATGTACTATTTAGCAGATTAGCAGCAAAACAATTAGAATGTTTACAACTGCGCTGTATACGCACTATTAGACACATTAATTTGACTCTCAGATATGAAGAGCAGGCCCCAAAATGTACTATTTAGCAGATTAGCACCCAGAAAATTAGAATGTTTACAACTGCGCAGTAAGCACACTATTTGATGCTTCTATTTGACTCTCATATATGAAGTGCACCGCAGGCTGCAAATGTACTATTTAGCAGATTAGCAGCAAAACAATTTGAATTTTTACAACTGCGCTGTAAGCACACTATTAGATGCTTCGATTTGACTCTCAGATATGAAGAGCAGGCCCCAAAATGTACTATTTAGCAGTTTAGCACCCAGAAAATAAGAATGTTTACCACTGCGCTGTAAGCACACTATTAGACACTTCTATTTGACTCTCGGATATGAAGAGCAGGCCACAAAATGTACTATTTAGCAGATTAGCACCCAGAAAATAAGAATGTTTACAATTGCGCTGTAAGCAGACTATTAGATGCTTCTATTTGACTCTCAGATATGAAGTGCACATCCCAAATATACTATTTAGCACCAAAAAAAAAAAAAAGACTTTTTAAAACTCCAATGTAAGCAGCAGATTATCAGCAAAACAATTAGAATGTTTACAACTGCGCAGTAAGAACACTATTAGACGCTTCTATTTGACACTCAGATATGAAGTGCAGGCCCCAAAATGTACTATTTGGCAGATTAGCACCCAGAAAATTAGAATTTTTACAACTGCGCTGTAAGCACACTCAGATATCAGACGCTTCGATTTGACTCTCAGATATGAAGTGCAGTCCGCAAATGAACTATTTAGCAGATTAGCACCCAGAAAATAAGAATGTTTACCACTGCGCTGTAAGCACACTATTAGACGCTTCTATTTTACTTCAGATATGAAGTGAACCCCACTAAAATACTATTTAGCAGCTTAGCACCCAAAAAACTTTAAGTTTTAAAACTGCAATGTGACAGCAGTATTTGACGATTCTATTTGACTCTAAGATATGAAGTGCACCCCACTAATGTACTATCCCACTAATGTACTATTTAGCACCCAAAAAATTTACTTTTTAAAACTCCGATGTAACCACGGTATTTGAAGCCTCTATTTGACTCTCAGATATGAAGTGCACCCCACTAATGTACTAGTTTGTAGAATTCTTTCCTAAGCTCTCCCTTTCAGCGGCAGCATCCTCTCCCTACACTAATAAGACCTCATGTGTGTGCGGCGCTACACGACTCCAGCTTATATATAGAGGCTGGGTCACATGCTGCACTGGCCAATCACAGCCATGCCATTAGTAGGCCTGGCTGTGATGGCTTCTAAGGGCACACGAGTCAAACGCTTGTTGATAGGCTGCCCTGCAGCTTTTGAAAATGCGCCATTAAATCGCCGAACACCGAACACCAACCCAAACATACAGTGATATGTCCGTGTTCAGGTCGGGGGTCAAAAAAACCTAATGTTTGGTACGAACCCGAACTTTACAGTTCGGGTTCACCCATCTCTAGTCTCAGATCCGGCAGGCGCACCTTGTTGTGGCAGCATTCCCACGTGGAAATAGGAACGCCATCGGTTAAAACTTGCCTGACACCTGCGGCACCTGTCGATCGCACTCTGAGCGACGGGCAGGGCCAGATGAACATAGGAGCTGATGGAGCTGCAGCTCCAGGCCCATGCCTATGGAATAGGCCCATTGACTTTAAAAAAAATATATATATATATTTTTATTTTTTTTAACACTTCTCTTAACATGCTCTTGCTTAAATGTACACTCCACTTCCCAAATAGATAATAAATCAAAATGACTGTAGATATACCCCAAATGAAAACTTACATGCATTTAACTATGTATTTTTGTGAATATTATGTTTATTTGTTTTTCAATTTTAACCCCTTAAGGACTGGACTGTTTTTGCGATGTTGTACATTTGCGACCAGGAATATTTTTACACTTTTGTGGTGTTTGTGTTTGGCTGTAATTTTCCGCTTTCTCATTTACTGTTCCCATACAAATTATATATTGTTTTTTTCAGGACAAAAGGGGCTTTCTTTACATACCATTATTTATATAATCTCATGTATTTTAATTTAAAAAAAATACAAAAATCTGATGAAAAATTTAAAAAAATACATGTTTTTTGACTTTTACTTGAAAAATCTTTTACTCATCTACAAAAGCGAATGAAAAAAACTGCTAAATAGATTCAAAATTTTGTCCTGAGTTTAAAAATACCTAGTGTTTACGTGCTTTTTTGCTTTTTTTTGCATGTTATAGGGCTATAGGTACAAGTAGGATATTGCGGTTTCAAAACATACATTTTTAAAATTTATCAATAGTGACATTGTAACACTATTATCTGTCATAAATCTCTGAATAACACCCCACATGTACATATTTTTTTTAAAGTAGACAACCCAGGGTATTCAATATGGGGTATGTCCAGTCTTTTTTAGTAGCCACTTAGTCGAAAACACTGGCCAAAGTAAGCATTCATATTTGTTTGTGTGTGAAAAAAGTAAAAAAACTAAATTGAACGCTAATTTTGGCCAGTGTTTGTGACCAAGTGGTTACTAAAAAAGACTGGACATACCCCATTTGCAATACCTTGGGTTGTCTTCTTTTGCAAATGGTATGCCATCATGGGGGTAATTCTCATTCCTGGGCTACCATACGCTCTCAAAGGCAACGTAACCAACCTGGCCATTTTCAATGTAAAAATATTTGACCCATATATTTGACCTTGTAACTTTCAAAAATGCTATAAAACCTGTACATGGGGGGTACTGTTTTACTCGGGAGACATCGCTGAACACAAATATTAGTGTTTAAAAACTGGAAAACGTATCACAACAATTATATCATCAGTAAAAGTGCTGTTTGTGTGTGAAAAATGCAAAAAAAGTAACTTTCACTGACAATATCATCGCTGTGATATGTTTTACTGTTGTGAATCACTAATATTTGTGTTCAGCGAAGTCTCCCGAGTAAAACAGTACCCCCCATGTACAGGTTTTAGGGTGTCGTAGAACGTTACAGGGTAAAATACAGTGCTAGCAAATTAAATTCTCTGGAATTTCGGCCTGGGTTGGCAGGCAGGTCCCTCAAATTGCAATCAATAAAATTACTGAATTATGTAAAAATATTACATAAATACGCACGTAGAATTTAAATATATATGCATATTTATATATTTGAAGTCTACGTGTATATTTATATAATTATTTATGTAATTTTGTATATGGACGTATGTATATTTCTTATTATTTTTATTTATTTTTATATACATAGATATATATACAAATTCATTCTAAGTGTATTTTGATATAAATATATATATATTAATTTTAAAATACAGTTAGAATAAAATTTCATATAGCTATATAATTTTTTTAAAATTTTATTATTATTTAAAAAATTTTTTATTTAATTTAAATTACTTATTAT